GCATCATGAAGCATATGACTAGCACATTTAAGTATAACCCACTTCCTATGTATAGGGATTTTTTGAGCAAACAACTTATGGGAACAATAATCAACTAGCATAGGAAGGTAAAACAAGCATAGCTTCGAGATTTTCAACACATAGAGAGGAGACTTGACATTATTGCAATTCCTACAAGCATAAGTTCCTCCCTAATAATAATTTTCAGTAGCATCATGAATGGATTCAACAATATAACCAGCACCTAAAGCATTCTTTTCATGATCTACAAGCATAGAAAATTTACTATTCTCCACATAAGCAAAATTCTTCTCATTCGGAATAGTGGGAGTATCATAATAGACTTGAACACTAAAAATTGTTTCCACATTAAAAGAGTAATGTTCAGAAAAAGAGTAATCATAATCATGACAAGGTTTGTAAATATAATCATCACTACTTTTTATAGCATAAGTTTCATCACAATAATCATCATAAGTAGCAACTTCGTTCTCATCATAATCGATTAAAACCTCTCCCAAGATAGTGGAATCACTAAATAAAGTTGACACTCTTCCAAATCCACTTTCATATTCATCATAATAAAATTCAACATCCTCCAAAATAGTGGGATCACTACTTCCTAAAGTTGGCACTCTTCCGAACCCACTTTATCAATATAATCATCATAAGTAGGAGGCATGCTATCATCATAACAACTTTGCATATCAAAACTTGGGATGCTAAAAATATCATCTTCATTAAACATAGCATCCCCAAGCTTGGGACAAACATTAATTTCAGTAAATATATTCTCAAATATTTCATCCTCATCAAACATAGCTTCCCCAAGCTTGGGCCCTTTCATATCATAAGCATAATCACTCTCATCATTAAAAATATTGATAGCACCAATAGTATAGCAATTATCATCATCACAATGAGTAGTAGGAGCAACATCATTTGGGACGGATACCTTTCTACCTTTATTGCTCCTTCTTTTCTTTTTGTTCTTCACATTATGTGTGGGTTCAACCTTCCTTTTTGGGCTCCTTATTGACGAGATTGGTTGAATAGAAAGCTCCTCCTTGTTACCTGATTCATCATAAGAAATAATAGGAGGATATTGGGAAGTCTCTTCCCTTTCATTAGTATTCTCATCATCTTCTATTTGCATTATTTTCTTTAGGTAATTGGCAATATAAGGATTTTCAATGCAATTCTCCGCACAAAACATATAAATCTTTTCTAGATCAATATCAAGAAAGTGCACAAGATTAAATTCTGGAATAGGCTTAGTTAAACGTTTCAACTCTTCACAACCCAAAAGCAATCTAAGTTCATTGTAATGAGAAAGGGAAATCAAATCATCACAATTTTTGGACACGATCCGATCATGAAACAATTTGCATTGGAGATGTAAATGATCTTGTTTATTGCAAAATTCACAACGGGAAAGATATCTTAAATTCTCCGCACTCTTATCCAGCCTTTCTTGCAACTTCTTAGTTTCTAAATACTTATGCCTCTTGCAATATATATCTTCTCTATTTGGTGTGTTCATGCAAACATGCACTCCACAAAAGTTGACATGCTCATAAGATATATTTTCATCATGACTAGAGCAATCATCATTAGTACTATGGATATTCAACGAGTTTATACTAACAACATTGTAATCATGCTCATCATTCAAAGATTCAGTGCATTTTAATGCACTCTTCTTCTAGCACTTGAGTACAATTTTCCTTTCCATCAAACTCACGAAAGATATTAAAAAGACGAAGCGTATGAGACAAACTTAACTCCATTTTTTTGTAGTTTTCTTTTATAAACTAAACTAGTGATAAAACAAGAAACAAAAAGATTCGATTGCAAGATCTAAAGATATACCTTCAAGCACCCACCTCCCCGGCAACAGCGCCAGAAAAGAGCTTGATGTCTACCACACAACCTTCTTCTTGTAGACGTTGTTGGGCCTGCAAGTGCACAGGTTTGTAGGACACTAGCAAATTTCCCTCAAGTGGATGACCTAAGGTTTATCAATCCGTGGGAGGCGTAGGATTAAGATGGTCTCTCTCAAACAACCCTGCAAAACAAAGAGTCTCTTGTGTCCCCAACACACCCAATACAAATGGTAAATTGTATAGGCGCACTAGTTCGGCGAAGAGATGGTGATACAAGTGTAATATGGATAGTAGATATAGGTTTTTGTAATCTGAAAATATAAAAACAGCAAGGTAACTAATGATAAAAGTGAGCGTAAACGGTATTGCAATCATAGGAGACAAGGCCTATGGTTCATACTTTCACTAGTGCAAGTTCTCTCAACAATAATAACATGGATAGATCATATAACAAGCCCTCAACATGCAACAAAGAGTCACTCCAAAGCCACTAATATCGGAGAACAAACGTAGAGATTATGGTAGGGTACGAAACCACCTCAAAGTTATTCTTTCGGAACGATCTATTAAAGAGTCCGTACTAGAATAACACCTTAAGACACAAATCAACCAAAACCCTAATGTCACCTAGATACTCCATTGTCACCTCAAGTATCCGTGGGCATGATTATACGATATGCGTCACGCAATCTCAGATTCATCCAACCAACACAAAGTACTTCAAAGAGTGCCCCAAAGTTTCTACCAGAGAGTCAAGAAAACATGTGCCAACCCCTATGCATAGGTTCATGGGCCGAACCCGCAAGTTGGTCACCAAAACATACATCAAGAGGCACGTGATATCCCATTGTCACCACAGATAAACACGACAAGACATACATCAAGTGTTCTCAAAGCTAAGACTCAATCCGATAAGATAACTTCAAAGGGGAAACTCAATTCATCACAAAAGAGTAGAGGGGGAGAAACATCATAAGATCCAACTACAATAGCAAAGCTCGGGATACATCAAGATCATGCCATAGAGGGAACACGAGAGAGAACACGAGAGAGAGAGAGAGAGAGAGAGAGAGATCAAACACATAGCTACTGGTACATACCCTCAGCCCCGAGGGTGAACTACTCCCTCCTCATCATGGAGAGCGCCGGGATGATGAAGATGGCCACCGGTGATGGATTCCCCCTCCGGCAGGGTGCCGGAGGGGGCTCCCGAGTGGTTTTTGGTGGCTACAGAGGCTTGCGGCGGCGGAACTCCCGATCTACCTTGATTTCTGATGGTTTTAGGGTATGTAGGGTTATATAGGCGAAAGAAGTTGGTCGGGGGGTGCTCGAGGGGTCCACGAGCTAGGGGGCCGCGCCCTGTAGGGGGGGGCTATCTTCTGGGCTCCTCGAGGGTCTTCGGACTTGATCTCCAAGCCTCCAGGATGATATTCTTCCAAAAAATCACAATGTCGAAGGTTTCATTCCGTTTGGACTCTGTTTGATATTTCTTTTCTTCGAAATACTGAAACAGACAATAAAACAACAACATGGGCTGGGCCTTCGGTTAGTAGGTTAGTCCCAAAAATGATATAAATGTGTAAAATAAAGCCCATAAACATCCAAAACGGGGTAATATAATAGCATGAAACAATCAAAATTTATAGATACGTTGGAGACGTATCAAGCATGAAAAATTAATTATTTGGACCATGGCAAAGTTACTGTTTGGACCAAGGATTTTTTTTCTTATGGATCATGCTAAAAATTTTATCAATATGTCAAGGAATTTTACAAATTTCTGTGTTGGATTTTTCCAAAATGGCAAGTTTTTTATTTGAACAAATCATGGTAAATTACGTTTGTATACCATGGCAATTTAAAGAAAATTCATGCATGTCATTTACTAAATGCAAAATTATGTTCAAACAATTAACCCCGCTATCTTGGCAAACTCACACCATTTTTGTGTGTGTGTTTTTTGGCTACAACAGCTATATGCAAGTTGACTGAATTTACAATTTAGACAAGTCAATTTTGTGGGAGAGGGGCAGTTGGAGGAGGAATAAAGCTGGAGGTAGAAGAAAAAAGGTTGGTAGTTGGATCTTTATTCTAATGGCCCAAACTATCGACTTACCCAAAATAAATTTTCAGGCGACTTATATAGCCGGTCCTTGTTTTTTTTGGCTTCGATCTACATCATGGCATTTTTTGTACAAGTTTTATCTCTCTACATTTTGCATGAAAATATTAATTTGTATGTTTCTTTTGGTAATGTAATAGACGTCGACAAATGTTTTGCATATAGCATGGCCATTAATTTTGCACATTACATGGTCATACTCACTACATATGTCATACAATATTTTTTCCATTTTTTGTATATATAATTTGTTTTTGCACAATTTTAACATTTTGTTTATTTTTTGTGGGAAATTTGTTGTTGGATCAGAAGGACTAGCTAAAAGGGCCTGACAACATGTTTGGTTGAGGGTAATTAGAGTCAGGGAATGGGAATTGAAAGGGCACGAGACTTCAAATCTATTATTTGGTTGGAGGCATTGGGAATTCACAAGGGAATAAGCATGGGACTTGAGACTCCAACTCCCACCGTTTTGGGAGGGGGTGGGAGTTGTTTTGGTGAGTCAATCTTAACCCTTCATCCTAACTTTCCTTGTCTAGTCTCCATGTCGATTCACACATAATTCCTATCATGCATCAAATAGAGGATTGGCAATTAAACGACTCATCCATGTCTAATCTCAACACAACTCCCTCCTCTAAACTCCCATTCCCCTTCTCAAATATTGCCAAACACGCTGGTCTTCGTGCTGGGGTGTGTCAGGTATCGAACGAACTCTCTTCTAAAAAAAAGTATCGAACGAAATCGTCCCAGCTAACAATTCCTTTTTTTTAAGTCTCATCACAAAGCCAAGTGTTGAACAGTTGTGGAACTGTTCTTTCGTAAACGTGGGATGCACATACAACTTAATTTACTACAAAATGCACTTATATAAGCGGTCTGTGACACGGTATCGTTTATGAAAACGAAAAAGATATATCGATGACGACCGTGGAAGCAAGCGCGGAACACGACATGTCATGGAATGGAAAGCCCGTCTGGTTCATGATCGATCACTGTGCTTGTTCGAGAAGACCAAGTGATTGTTTTTTCGTAGCAGCACGAGTAGCAGCTTGGGCCTGTTGTGCAGACAAGCGCCACTCCTCCACACTCTTGCGGATGGAGTCGCTGTCTTTGTACTCATCGAGGAAGGTCTCGAGGTTGTCCAACATGGTGACGAAGGACGACACCAGAAGCTCGTAACGCCATTTCTCCACGCCAGGGAAGTCGCAGTACTTGCCCCCGAACTCGTCGATGTACTGCAGATCACAAGGCAACAAACAATGTCGGTGTAAATGTATTGATTAGCTACTCTACCCGTCCCTAGTAGCAACGTACGAGCGTCCAATATGGTCATGCACGTTTTTTTTTTTTTTGCGGGAACGTGCACGTTATATATAGTCGTCGATCAGTACCGTGGTGTCAAACAAGCTGACGTCGTGGGTGTACTTCTTGGGCACGCCGGCGATCTCCCTGGCGCCGTAATACTCCTCCACGGACCGCATCATCTCCTCCTCCGGCGGCAGCGTCCTCTTGCCGGACAGCACCTGCGCCACCCATTTCGCCTGAGCCTCAAAGAACCAAGGCGCAAATACCTGCAACAAAATGCATCGATTGTTTTGGTACGTGCTGGAAAGGACAAGGTCTCATGATCGATCCCGACCTCAGGATGTAATGCAACGTGGCTAACTCGCTCTCGACTGTAAGTACCTTTATGGGTATACCGATGAAGGAGAGGGACGGCGCCAGCGACGGCGGAAAAACGTGCTCGAACAGCGGGCCCACGCGGTTGTCGTCGACGGTGACCGCTCCCTCCGTATCCAGGAACGGGAAAGAGTAACTGAACCCTGTGCAGTAGATGATCGTGTCGGCGAGGATACTGGAGCCGTCGCCGAACACCACCCTCCCGTCCTCGCACAGCCGCTCCACCTGATTAACGTTGCCGGACGGATCAATCATTTCGTTTTGCATGCATGTATGCATGCATGTGGAGATCGACATGACTGGAGCACGGAATAAAACATACGTGCAGTTGTAGGTGCAGGCTGGCGGCGTGCTTGGCTAGCACGCCTTGGCCAGCCCCTGGGTCACCTCCTCCATGGACTTGGCGGCGAGGTGCACCTCCTTCGCCACCCTGCGGACCTCCATGGTGATGTCCTTGCCGCTCTCGCCGCACCCGACCACCACCACCACCTCACCGCGGAACGGCTCCGGCACCCTGTACGAGTGGCTGTGCATCTGCCTCCCCCTCCACGCCTCCATGCCTTGGATGCTCGGCAGTCTCGGCTGCGAGTAGTGGCCGTTGGCCACCACCACGGCGTCGAACACCTCCTCCACCACTTCCTCGGACTTGCCGAGATCGACGGACCTCACCGTCCACTGCCGCGCCGGGCCCGGCGCCGGGGCGACACGCACGACGCTGGTGTTGAGCCTGACGGACTCCATGAGCCCGAACGCGGCGCAGAAGTCCTTGAGGTAGAGGTACACCTCGCGGTGGCCCGGGAAGCGGCGGCCGTCGCGCCCGTCCTTGGGCGCGAACTGGAAGTCGGTGAACCCCATGTTCTCCCGGGCGCTGATCAGGCGGAGGGACGCGTACATGCTGCCGTGCACCTTCACCGGCGCCGCGGCGCCGAGCGGGTCGGCGCCGTCGGTCCTCGGGTCGTACACCCACTGCCCGCCCACGTCGCCGCTCTGCTCCAGCACCGTCACGTCGTGGCCCTCCCGCCGCAGCTCCCGGGCCGACGCCAGCCCCGCCATCCCGGCTCCGATCACGCATACCTTCTGCCGTTGCAATGGCTTGATCTTGATGTCGTCGCAGACCATGTCGATATTCGATCGAGACGTAGAGTGGTGGAGGAGGTGATTGAATTATTTGATCTTGTCAAGAACCGAATGGCATCGTTCTTCCTTTATTTGTGCGCAATCTCAGTGTCAGATCAGCCACTCCACCTACTGTGCTGTAGAAAGTTTCGGTGGTGTAGTGAATGCCATGTCACCCAGTTATTTAAGAAGAGAGAACATACAATTAGCTGGTAACCGAGACATCAAAATATTTGTTGCAGATGCTCATCAGGTCATCATTGCGAAATAAAATATTTGACATGCTGTGCTCGTGGAAACCAAACTACATAGCGCAAAGTATCTAGTGGAGCTGCTTAACCATTTGTATTTTGATCATCGCCACCTTTTCTATCTTTGCTGATACAACTACTCAACTTTGTTGTTTTGTTTCTCACCATATTATAGTAAATAGCATTAAAACCACCACTTTTGTGGCATACATTTCAACAAGAAGCTACTACCACTTTTGTACTAATCCGTCGCAAATAACTACTCCCTACATCCGGAAATACTTGTCGAAGAATTGGAGAGAAATGAATGTAACTAGACGTATTTTAATTCTACATACATCCATTTTTATTTATTTCTCCGACAAGTATTTCCGGACAGAGGGAGTACCACTTTGCATTGGCTACCGGTTCAGCCGGGTTTTTTTGTGTGGGGGGTGAAAAGGGATTTCATTGCTCAAGGAATTACAAGGTCGTTCTTACACAACATAGGAACATCCGCAGGCCCAGATCGCAGCCACACAGTTTGTTTTTGCGGTGGTAAAGGGAGTTTTATTGCATAGATATAGAGTTACGGTCGAGATGCTACAAGTCCTCAATACACGGTGGGATCGAGCCAAGCCACACAGCCGTGGCACGCTTAGATCGGCTATACTTTGCCAACCGATCCGTAACTCTATTTTGCAAGCGATTAATTTTTTAAGAAATAAACTATGTAGTACCTAGTAAGGCCTTGATCTCCAAGACTATCTAGCCATACGCCGAGCGGGTGAGTGCATCATTCGTTAAATTGGACACAGCTTCAAGCGAATCTGATTGCACCACCATCGGAAGATCAAAGTGTTGTATCGATAGAGCCATATCTTGCATCATCACATGTAATTCTGCCTCCAGTGGATCATTGCAGTGGAAGATAAACCGGTAGGCTGCTAATAGAGTATCCCCTTTGTCGTTCCTGATGACCATACCAGCAGAAGCCGAGCCATGCATCATCTAGGCAAAAGGAGTCGTCGACCGAAAGGGTTAGCTGACCCGCCGTTGGGGCCGACCAAGGAATTGCAGGAACCTTGCACACCTGGGTTGCAGCACCATTGTCTGAAGAGTCCATCTTTCCTTTTAGAATTTCTTCCGTGGAAAACACCCAGCGAGTTTAATTGATTTGTAGTAGCTGTCCAAGTAATCGACGGTAGCTGGCGCTGGGGGCGCATCCTTCCCATGTGACAAGTCATTGTGAATTTGCCAAATTCGTCATGAACGTCAGCAGAACACTTAGAGAGCAAAGTAAATTACCATTCCTTCCCATCCATAATGAGTAGGTCATCTCCTGGAATTGGCCATCTTCTTCGCATATTGACCCACAAGGTTCTTGCCTATGTGCATGCATGAAAAGAATCCTCCTCCTCAATGCCACAAAGCGGGCACGTTGATCTTGTCGACAAGTGGTATCTTTTTCCTTGATGGGTTGCCAGCGTTACTAGTGCAGAACCGGCCTTTAGTGCCGGTTCGTAACGGTCTTTAG